ATAAAAAGAAATCCAATGGCGTTAAATCTGAATCAAGAATATTAAGATTGAATTAGTTTATCATTTAGGTTTCTACACCACTTGCGTTTTAGCCGTTTGGAAGGATTTCCAAGGATAGTCAAGGAAGTGATATCATGCATGATTGGGTTTCTGTGGTTTAAGAGGCGGTTATGAAATCTCTTGTAGTGTGTTTAAGGCACGTCTGCAATAAAGGGTATGGAGAGGTTGTCATGGAGTGTTTGATTGGAAACGTAATATAAGGTGCTTTAGTGATTTGTCTAAGACAGTAAAAAGTGGAAAATTGTACAGAAATAATATTATCCACATTAAATTACAATCCAGCTTCCAATATGAAGTTAATTATTTTTTTAATAACCATTTCAGATTTAATATTGAGCATATATGGGAGATTAGGGTATTAGGGTTTAGGGAGGATATTAAGACACTTTAGATAGTTAATCAGAGACAAACGCTTAAAATGTAATAATAGAAAATCAAATAGTAAATGAGAGAGATCAGACGTGCATATCATAACGATGGCTTGTACCTATAAGAATTGCACGCTTAGTCACGTGTTGCAGGATTACGTGTGGTCCCTTTCTACTTTCTGGAGTAAGAGTAATTGGACTCCACAAGACTTAGTTTGAAACGACCGCTGTCGCCGAGACGCCGATACAGCAAAGTTATTCTCTGTATTTATCTAGGTATCTCCTGAGCGTTGCGCTTTAATACCCAATAAATAATTAATAGGACACCACACCCGCATGCAGGTATTGTCCTTACTATTTAGATAGGTACTCTGTAATTTCTAAAAATTATCTATTATTTTTAAAATTAGCGTGAATAATCATAATTATTTTAATAAATATAATTATTTTCTAAGGCTGATTCTTACAATATCCAGTTAAAGTTGTCGGACTCTTATAACCTCCGGAATTCTGCCGGTAATAAAATATAGTTGATATGAATATTTGTTAAGAAGTTTCACATCCTTGAATTACACACAACATTGTTAATTTTCTAAGGCTGATTCTTACAATGTCCAGTATTGTAGTTGTATAGTATCCAGTGTCCGTTAACCGTTAACCGACGGTTAGTGGAATTTTTACCGACAGAATTTCGTCGGTTAAACATTTAATGTCCGTTAACCTTAACCGGACATTATAAGAACGACCCTATCATAGTACCCTACAATACCCTACTAACTTTTTTCCCTCACGACACACTAGTCCTAAGCTATATTTAGCCGTAACACACCGACACTGACTTATATATGTTAAATAAAAACTAACATTTTTTAATATTAGGGCATTAGGCATTCATCATATTAATACAAAAATTTGCATAATCAGTAAACTACTACCTAGCAAATAATTTAAAACGGTGTTTACTTAGGTTAGGAAAACTCATGTAAAATCATATTTTAATTTGTTAAAAATATGACATTAACTGATATTGAAAAACAGAGACATTACATTATGATTATGTTATATTTATGTTAGATATAAAAATCTAGTCCTAGACTCCTAGTGAGAAAATTGGCATTAGTTTACACCGTATTTGAATAGTTGACAAGCACACCCTCTGACYCTCACAATAGAGTATGAGAATTGTTAAAATTATTTTAACTTATTATCGAAATTATAAGTAAGCGAATTAATAATCATGACATTTTGCGAGTTGCGACACACCTATTGAGGCTCCATGGCACACCAATGTGTCGTGGCACATCGGTTGGGAAACGCTGGCTCTGCAAAGTGTCCCATAAAGAATAAAAACACAAATACTGTAAGACTGTAGGTGCATCTACCTACAGTTTTTGCTTCAGTTGAATCTAAAAAAAAAAAAAACAGTTAATTTTAAAGAATAAAAACCTGTTTGGGAAAAATTATAAACATGTATTTTAATATATCTACTATCAACTATATGCTCTTATTATCTATAGTTATACCTACTGCTACTTGTAATTCAAATGTATTTACAAGTTATGTGTCTCTGAAAAACAGAATTTGCAGTTTGTGTATCCGTATACGTTTATTAAACAGGTTGGTACCTACMTATTTATAATTACAAATTTTCTTCTTTGATAGGTATTTATTTAATAATACATTTTCAAATAAACAAATAAAAATGATTGGTGTTGTAATTATTACTTTGTTACTATTTTGAAAAATACCTATAATGAAAGATTCAAATTCTCGACCAAAATCACAAATTTTTTAACAGATATATTATTTTAAACAGTTATACTTACCAACTCATTACTTTTTGAATGCGTTCATTTCATTCAATATTATTACAGACTTTCTACATGTTGCGCGTATTTTTGTGTTTTGTTTTAATTATGTTCCATACAAAATAATCACAGTATATTATATTATTATAACCACATACCGTTTAATATACCTAATGGCTAATAAYAATACTAAAATAAGGTTTTTAGAATATCATATTCTGAATATGTACAAGGTGTTCCTAATGTTCCTTGATGATTTACCCATTGCGATATCTCCCGAAATAATGGTGATATCAAAATTCTGGTTTTGTAATAAGACTCCCAGGGATAAGAACTAAAATTATTTCATATCTTTTTATTTAATTATTTCCAAAAAAATTGACCATACCAATTTTGTAGTTTATTTTCTTTAAAATATTGACGTTTCAAAATATTATTTTCATGAATTTCGTAATTTTTAATTTATTTTTATTTTTTTAGTTACAAGAAAAGTTGTGAATTATTTAACACCGTTATGTTATTAAACATGTGATCGACTCGCCGCTTGCATTCCCATACGGTCGGCCGAATACTTTCCGTGTTCCTATAATAGTTATAATCATATTTTATTTCTTAAAAACTAGAAAAAATATTAAAAATCAGGAAATTAATGAAAGTAAAATGTTGAAACCTCGATATTTTTATAAAAACATACTCTACAAAATGGCTATCTTTAATTTTCTTGGGAATAATTAAATAAAAATATATATTTTTTAATTTTTTTACAAAAACATTAAAATAAATTAAAAATGAAATAATTGTAGTTCTTATAATCCCTATGAAGCTCATTATAAAACCAGAATTTTGTTATCTTCATTATTTTGTGAGATATCGCATTGGGTAAATCCTCGCGGCCTCGCGGGACACCCTGTATATATGTAGGTACACGGCTACATACACTCAAAGTTAAATTAATAATATATGGTATACCTAGGTAGATTGTTTTGAAGTAAGTCGTATATTATTGAAATTATTTAAGTATAAAWGTATAATAATATAATAACAACGTGATTTTGAATAGAAATGTTAATTACCTAGTTTTTTTATATTTTCATTAAGCAGATATTGTTAAATTGTCAATGATATTGTTTTTGTAATAGATTTCAYGCAACGGGTTTTTTAAAAGCCACGGGACATGGTAAGAATATTCAAATTCATCAACAAAACCAGTTGAAGTAGGTAATATTGTTATAAAAACCAACGCAGCAGTATACATCAACTCTTGTATCGCCGTGTTCACTTCAAGAATAGGTAACCGTTTGCCTACTTACCTACCTACCTAATGTTTTGATATTATAATTTTTCGTGAGTACCTACCCATTTTTTTTTTAAATATTGTAATTTAGGTTGCTTATAGAATAAATTAAAAATTGAATGTTTTTAATTTAGGTACCTATATTATATTATTGACTCTATTTTTATAATGACTAGATACTTAAATAATATACACTAATGATACAAGTGTACCTATATATTATACACTTATACRTGAATTTATATCATTAAAAAGCGTATTACCTAGAAACCTTTTATAAAATGATCGATTTACTTATTTTTGTTATAAATTATAACTCATTTTAATTAATTAATTATCGGAATGTTTAATGCCAATAATAATACTTTTAATACTTATACCTTTAAAATAGACGGTAATCTTGAAGTTGGATGAAAAAAACWCAAATGCCTATAAGGGTTTAATAATGGATTTTGTTATTATTCTATRTAGTTGTCAAGTTGTCTAATATGAATACTAATTATTCATATGTGTTGGTTTARGTACATTTACGTCGTACTATATACAGAGACACAGAGTGCAGAATATACAAGCTATATATAGTTTAAAACAATATTTTTTTCTGTTTTTTTTTAGTTTGACACATTACAAAGTTAACCACCTAAGAGGTGAACATCTAGAGTCCTATACGGCTGTACGTAAGTTTTTCAAATATTTGATTTCTTTAAATACTTATATACCTATGTCTATAAAAGTATAAATAATTWGAGCTAATAATAAATTAATTTAGGTAAGAAGTACTAATAAAGATGGAATAATTAATTTGATATTTCAATTATTTAAAAAAAAACCTACGTATCTACGTAAACCTTAGTAAACCTTCTTGTTATTTTATTTTTATTATTTGAATATCGCCTAACTAAAATTATGACATTTCAACCATGATGCGTTTGAACGAACATAGATATAATGTATATAAACGACAAAATATGTGTGAAMTAGTGGCCTATATATAATATGGCCAATATATTTTGTCATATAGGTAGGTACATAAAGTACATATAAAAAATAAAACTAAAATGTACAAAGGATTTATTAGGATAACATTATTATAGATAATAGAGCGTCAAATTTACACCTGCTTATTATTGAAGAATTTGGTGCAGTTAAGAAAATATTTTTTTTTTAATTGAGATGGTCGAGAAAAATAAAGAAGAGAGAATGAGAGAGAGAGAGTGAGAGAGACCGGTAGACAGCTAAATAAACTATAAAGTAATGAAAGTCACCAATCACCAGTTCAACACCATAGTTTTAGATGGTAGTGTAGGTGTAGCTGTAATATTTTGATTGTTTACGTGGTTTTCTTACTATCTYTGTAACCTATTGTAATAAGCACTAGTAACTATAATATAATATAATAGGTTACATTTATCGAGTTTAAACGGTTTGGCTATTAATATTAAAATGAGTATAATGCGATTTTATTTTGGTATTTAAATTATAGTGCCTATATCTAAGTAGACATATACTAATAGACAATAGTGTCAATGTATCATTTATATGTATATTGCAATTGTATTATATTATATAGTTATAGTCTATAGCTATAGTACCTACCCACATATATGTAATTAATGTAGCCATAGAGACCATAGAGTAAAGATTTAAATGCAATAGACATAATAATATAATAATATAACATAATAATATTCTCAATTATCTTAACATAAACATATCACATAATATTCTATTATTCTATATTGATTTAAAGTAATTGTTCAATTTATCGTAAATTTATTTATTTATTTATTTATTATTATTTTTTATTTATTTAAGCCTCGACAACTAAGGTTATTGGCTAACATTAACATTAATAAAGATATATTGAAATAAGGTTGTGTACAGTTTAGTTCTTTGTAGAAATGTTATAACGTTGCAGTAGTTTTCAAGACTGGGTCCAACGTCMAACTGCTTTATATAGATGATCCGTACAAAGTAACACTAAAGGCTAAATCAAAAATGTCACAAAGTTTTTTAGTGTCAGGAGCAAATTAATTTTGGGGGCTTTAAACACGATATAAAAAAAAATTAGTCACAAAGATTTACAAAATGTAAGCAAATTTGACTTACCAAGGAATTGGTATAGATATTATGCTATTATACCAGTGTAAATGTAACTTAAAGTTTTCACTTTTCAGAACTAAAATAATAGGTATATATATGATATAACTCTATAACTATATAGTTATTGTCCAACTCTGTTACAATATCGATACTATAGATAACGAATTTGGATATTTTTATCATTAACCCTTAACGCCGGCTAATCATATTCACTATACTTATTTTTTATTATTATTATGTGTTCCTGACAAGGTCATCTAACTTGTTGATAACATATTTTAACATTTTTTAACAATTTGACTGTTGATAATGCATAATTAATCAAAAATTATTTTATAGAAAATTACTTGAATTTATATCGATAAATATATAAATGATTAATAGAATAGAATGATAGCATAAATTAATATAGGTATAATTTTTTTTTTTATTGCTTTTTTATATTAAATGTATTATTGGTGTTGAGATAGTGCATCACGATTCACGGGGACTTGTCACTGAGTTAGAAATATTACGCACTATTTGCATTGTTTTGTTAAAAATGTTGACCGTGATATTCTGTATTATACACGTTTTAATTATTAAAAGTTTGAAGTCTGTGTGAAGGGCTTTGTTTTTGACGAACCAAGGAGCATTGGGTATTTTTCGTTTTTTCGTAGTATTTTTTATTAAAAGACTTGAATTTTATTTATATGGATTTTGGCACATTTTCCCCAGATAGGGGATTATATATAGGTAATACCAATATTATAATATACTATAGGTAAGTATATAAATATTCTTATTCTCGCATTAATTAAACAGGGAAATATTATATCATAGTATTATACCTATAATAAGCTACACCTATTATTTATTAAAAATAGCCGTAGTGTTCTACCTTCAATAGAAAATTAAAATATCTTGGAATGCCTTATTATTGTTCCAAGCCACGACCTCCAGGCACCGTCCTGTATAGTGATCGATCACCTATTAACTATATTATTCCGTATTCGTACAACTATTCGTTCAATAATATGATGCGAAGATAGTATAATTAATAACTATATATTTATATTACAATAGTCAATAGTGTTATACTTCATAGTTTATATTATAGGTCAGATATCTGTACAGTGATGCGCTAAATTTTATTGACGTTCCTATTAAATTTATTTAGGTATTTGCCACCTTTTGCCGTCCTATGACACTTCCCCTCCCTCATTGGAGCGGCTCTGGATAAATATACCTATTGATTATGCTAGTAAACTAGGAACTTTTAAGTGTTATAGTTATTTTCGTTATGGTT